ATCTATCTTCTCTTTACCCTCTTATCCCATTGACGCCCTATCACAAACTTCACACTTTCTTACATTCCGATGTACTTCAACATTCCTTTAAGTTGAGCTACTCAGGCTGTATAATTAACTTATGAACGAAATCCAGATATTCTAATGCCAATTAAGGTAAGAAGTTAATAATGGGAATGACAAATTTGGTGATGAACTGAACATTTTTTACTTTAGATAGTAAACTGTACTAAAAAACGCAATCATTGGCTATGCGATCGTGTTTGTCCCCAATTTTAGCAAATAATTACATGGCTTAATTATAAATTTGCCAAACATAAGAAGGACATTTAGCTCCCAAATTATTGGATAGGTATAAGGATGAATACTTTGCCGTATGGCAATATGGCAAGAAAACCTAGAAGAATTCCAAACATTTATAAATGAAATCAATGGGAGTATCAAGTTCACCATGGAATTATAAAAGGATGGTAGTCTAACTTTTCTAGATGCCCCAGTTAATAAACAGAGGAACAAACTGGATAAAAATGTGTATATGAAACCCACAAATGCAGAGTTCTCCTTAAACCTTCTTTTAAGCCATAATTATGAGGTTAAAGTTTGCGTTTGATTCCTAAAATTTACAAATAAGTGATCTAAAAGGCTTCGGACCTTAAAACATTACAAGCAAGATGAACTAACTCTTGTTGCTTGCCGGGATTAACGTGACTTCTTGCGCGATCAAGAAATCTTGCTAGCCGAAAGTGGGCTTCCTCCCCAAAACTTCGACAGTCTGATTGTTGTGGTGAAGCATGGACCTGGAGAGAATTTTGTTCGTCAATTGAATACTTGTTGGCAGCTAATGACACATTTTCTATTGTAGTTATTGTCTTCTCTTCGGTTATTGGCTGTAAATTAGCAATTGCTTCTTCATAAAGTTTTTTAGTACCAGCAAAGTCTAGTCGACTCATTTCTTCACTGTAGCGAGCACGAAGTAGAAGTGCCTGTTAACAATAACGATAGGATGAGAAAAAGGACGGTAAAGATGATGAAAATAAACGAACTAGAATAAAAAACATCTCTCTAAAAGTGTTTCTCACGAACTTTAGCAAATAATTACATGGCTCAATTTGAGGAACGCTAAATTCAGAAGACACTTTTAGTCCCTAAATTATAAGTTAGCTATATCCATAGTAAGTAGGTTTCGCTTTATGTACATTACCAAATTTTGAAATCTTGTGTGAATGATGATGAGAACCACGCAAGGTAAAATTTCAGTTT